AGATCTGAAGAACGCCAGACCAAGTCCTATGAGGTTGAGACACACGCTAAGCCTGTCACCGGGCATCAGGCATCCCGTCTGGGCGATGGCGTTGAATTTCGCCATGAAGCTGGATCTGATCACGCCGGCTTTGCCTTCTGGGTTATCAAATCGAGGAGACGTCCGATTCGCGAACCCGGAAAGGATTGGGTTGAGGTAGACGCTCCGTTCATTCCGATGGCCGAGTTGAACTGTTATCGTTGCCAGGATTGCGTGCAGTGTAGTCCACTCTACTGTCACAGTCCTGTCCTCGCCAAGTCCCAGGATGAAAACGGTATTGTGGACTCGTTGATGTCGTTTGTCACTCCAAGGCTCAGCAACAACGAATTCGTGGTAGCACCATGAACGCTGCCACCACCGCGCAGCGGCCACTTTATCGTAGAGCGAGATGAGCAGCGAAACTTCCCTGTCGTCGGTCGGACCTTTTTCGAGTACATATGGAGACCGATAACCATCGTAAAGTTCAAATATTCCAGCCTCGTCGTTGGTGAGCTCGACATCCTCCAGAAGTACGACCAGCTTACGGCAAGACTTGTAAACAACATCCATCGATGCGATAGCTCTTTGTTGCTCGAACTCATCGCGTTGGTTGATGCAGACCTGGTCTATCCACACTCCCTCACGTGGATGACCTCGTAATTCTAGGATTGCGTCGGCAAAGCGCTTGCCAACTGGCCACACCCCTCCAGGTTCTGGAACCGATTGAGGTGTCCCCGGCCAACTCGGGTTGTGCCAACTGTAACTGATGGCTAGAAATTGTCGGATCACGAAACGACTGTCGAATGGGATCCCGCTGGGGCTCGAGCAAAGCAGCCGGAAAGGAGTGTCGAGAATAACGTCTGAGGTGCGTCGCTGGAAGCGTTCCGCAGCTTCTGCGGACCATGCTTGGAGGTTGCGGAGAATGAGATCGGCTTCATCGCGGCCTGAATCTAAGCTGCCAATGGCCTCGGAGAAGAGATTGAACTTGTTGTCTCTGGTTAATGACAGCTTGAAGAGATCCGGCGAGAGTTGTTCGACTTCAAGAGTCTTTCCAGCTTGCGCAGTAGAGTATTCGATGAGGCCAGACATTTTTGATAGTCTACCACAAGCTATTTGCGTGGATGTCTGTTGCCAAACCAAACCAGAAGTGGTGAGCCACGGAAGGATTAGAAGGATTGAATAGACCTATCGGATCTTAGAGGGACTCTTGTGCCAACTGAGGTGAACTTCTGCTGCACCATCAAATCTGTGATGTAGTATGGTCAAGAAGAAGTGAAGTGCGGTGTGATATTCTGGTCAGTCCCCTCCCTGAAGTGTGTGGGTCGTATGTTCAGCTGAGTATCCGCAGCTCCTCGATGTGTGGTGTGATCGCTCAGGCTGCAGCAAAGCCTCAAACGGGAATTCTTGACCCTTTCTGGTTAGTAGTTCGGCCAAGCCTCTTTGCCTTAAAGCTAATCATGCCCCAAACACTCAGCTCATCTCACAATCATGGTCTACTCACCACAACTCTATTTGAACGTTTTTCCAAACACCATCGCGATGATTCAAAGCAAATCGCATCCAAATATCTCACGGTGGTGCAGGCAAGCCAAACAGTATACAGGCATGAGTTCGTTGAGTCTAGATAATAAATACAGACTTGATAACATATATACGTGTGAGCTTCGCAGTGGGTATCTCAACCTGACCGGACTTCACACTTTGCTGAGACATAACATAGCTCGCCATATCGAATCATCACTGCGCTCTCACAAGAACCAGCGGAAGTGAGGGCTCTTAGGTCCATCGCCCAACTTCGATGTCGGGACTTCACTAGCAGTCAAGGTAACACCCTCGGCCCGGTTTCTCTTTCGGTTGTCCCACATCATGAAGAATCCCAGAGCAAGCGCGCATGAGGCACCGGCCACGCCGAATGCTGCCGTTGTGATCAATGCGGGCGCGTATTTTGGAGCATCTGGCTTGCGGAAGATGTTGCTGCTCACAAGACCCATGAGGTTGGCCAGTGGAACACCGATTGAAGTCAGAAGTACACCTGCAGTCTCGATGTCAGTCTCTATCAGAGAACCAGAACTTTCTTAGTTTTTACTTACGCTGATTTTCGTTGACAACATTGTTGTTGTACCAAGTCGACAGAAGCACACTCGGTGCTGAAGTTCCCCAAGTCATCATGAAACAAGCATAGTATGCGAGTTTGATCTCAGCTTCGACATCGTCAATGGCAGCGTAGATGATGAAGCCGATGAACGTGAGCATGAAACCCAAGGCGATGAATGGGAACCGAAGTCGTCGCCAATCTGAGAGGAAAGCAAGGATAAGGAGCATGGCAGCACCGCTGACGTTCGGGGCCACTGTGTAGAGGTTCGTCTTGATGGTGCTGTATCCCAAGCGTTGCACGATCTGGGGCATGAAGAGACCAACGCTCTGGAGGGGAACGCCAAGGCAGATTTCGATGGCGAGAAAGCCGAACTGTGTCAGATTTAATCAGTAAGAGCCTTCTTTTCAAAGTGAAAGAAGCCGAAGAAGGGGCAGATGCTTACCGTCGTCGGATGCTTGAAAACTTTGGCTGCTTCTCGGATCTTCATCTTCTCTCCAACCACGGATGAGCTGTCGACTCGGATGCGGTGGTGGGCAAGTCGCTTCTGCTCCTCCGTGAGGAACTTCGCCTCCGCAGCGCTACGCGGAAGATACCAGAACGCAAAGAAGGAGAACAAGATGGTGGCAGTGGCCTCAATGATGAAGAGCCATCGCCAAGGATGCAATTTGGTGTTGGTGATGTGGAACACGCCGAATGCCAGAAGACCGGAAAATGCGTTTGCCTACGATATGTCAATCATGAAGCCCACGAGTACGTCATAAGTAGTAGAGGGGCCATTACGATATTTGAAGCGGCGTAAAACACAGCCAGGCGTCGCGCAAGCTCACCGCGACGGTAAAAGGTGGTGAGATAGTAGATGACCAGCGGGAAGAACGCCGACTCCGCCATGCCGAGGAACCAACGCAATGCAAACACGCCACCAAAGTTTTGCGCGGCAGCCATAAGCATCGTCATCGTGCCGAAGGTGAACATGAGAATCGGGAGGACGACGGCCGGGCCGAATTTCTTGCCGATGAGGGCCACAAACGGCGCGGCCGCGACGAAGGGCACGAAGAAGATGCTGACGATGAGGTTGTACTGGCCATCTTTGAAGCCGAGATCCGTGCTCAGGCCATCGGTTTCGGCATTTCCTAGGTTTCCCTTATCGAGTGCGTTGAACAGGTCTGGTCGAATAAGTACGTATGAGCGACCACGAGCACATCCTCTAGCGATTGAGAGCGGGAGATGCTACTTACACATCACGGCTAGCACAGGCAAGATGTGAAGGTCCAGCTTTCTGCAGAGGGCCCTCTCGGCGGCTTTGTCGACGACTTGAACCACATCGTCGTCGTAGTCGTTCTTCTTGACGTTCTCGCCATCCACGGATCCATCGCGAAGTGATCCTTCAGCGCGTGTCGCTGGGGTGATCTTGTTGTCCTTTGCGGCCTCCATTATGCGTCTCACGGGCCCTTATGGCTAACACCACAGGAAAGATGCGAAAGGAAAGTTCAAGAATCGTGGTTGGGAGACTCAAGTGGTGCAAACCGCGAGGGAGAGGGAGAAAAATGCAAGGTTACAGTTACCCCAACTGGGACATTGCTGTCCGTGCCTTAGTAGACACATACGACACACATAAGCTTCGGATGGAGTCTGCTGCAGTAGCATTCGCTGATCCAGCATATCCTTTTCCTGATTGACGTATCTCTCATCCCGGTCATCTAGCATCCTTGTGGCTGGTTCGTAATGATGAGAGACAAGCTCGTTGGCGGCCAGAGATAAGAGTGATACTCCAAGCGGGGTCATACAACCACGCGCACTCTCCTGCTCTCTTCGGGTATCCCATCTCGGCCATCCGTCAGCAAGGAACTGTCCGATTGGGTGAGTTCTAGCCTCCATGTCGGCTCACGGTCGGCGAGGAGTTGCGACGAGAATTTGTATGTTCACACGAATCGCGTTACGATACCTAGCGTCTACAGAAGCAACGACGTAGATGTCCAAAGTCGAACACCCTGCTGTGGACGTACGCTAGTTTCCAGGATTCCAGGACTGGTACCACGCACTGGAGGTCTCTAGGGCTCGATGTCAACTATTACTCCTTAGCTTTAGCTCCCCCGTCAGGATGCTTTCAATCACTGCGCATGGCTTGGCCTACCCGTATCCTGTGCTGGACCTCTTGCTAGGAAGTCTTTGCTCAAGAGTGCCATTGGAAGCAAACATGCCATATCTGCATTTGAGGTGTACGGCTTGATAAGGATGGATGCCGATGGCCTATGGCATAGCAGCCCATTTATCAATATGCACCCCGCAATCCACAAAGCTTGCAGCAACTCCATCATAGTGGGGCGAGCCGACGAGAACTGCAGCGCCGTGCAAGCAGCCTCTAGCCCTCACGACGAAGGCCGGTGATGAGCGGTCTGTGGGGGTACAACTCCTATTCAACACCTTTCAAGGCGCGAACATCTCGTAATAGGAACTGAATGGAGTAATGGCCGTGTTAGAAACAAACCCGAGATTTAGGGACAGAAATCCGATTCCGAAGCGACCCACAAATGAATGCTTAGAGAAGATAAGGGTGAGCTATCCGGGGTGTTGAAACGTTGCAATCCCGCTCACCTCAGGATTGCGGGGTTGATAGGACGATCCCTCGCAACTCTCCGCGGGCATTTCAAGCTCATCCGAGAACGGAGACTTCGACGGGTACTCCTATCGCAGAGAAGATGACGCTCACGATGAGTGCGATGGGTCATCGATGGGGTTTGTGAATGACTAGTAGCTTTCATGATGGTATCTCAATTGCGTTTTGGTTGACGGAGTGGCGGTGAGATCAACTTTTGCGCTCATGTAGAAACACACCATTTAGAACCGAACTCAAACCATTCCAGCACGAAATACACGCTTACCGATCACCATGTCCTCCCCAAAGACCCCCGTTCTCACAGATAAGGCCCCCAAGCCCCTGCCCGGCATCTACAGCCAAGCCATCATTGCCAATGGCATGGTCTTCTGCTCCGGCGCCGTTCCCATGGACCCGGTGACAATGAAAATCATTGACGGTGACGTTCAGGCACACACGGTATGTGCATGCAGCACTCCCTAATCAGCAACCCAACTCTGCCATCTCAATTGGACACCGATGTTGCTCATCGCTGACTGAAAACTTCAGCACCAATGCATCAAGAACCTGACCGCGGTACTGGAAGGCGCCGGTACCACGATTGACAAGGTGGTCAAGGTGAACGTCTTCCTCTCGGACATGGATGACTTTGCTGCGATGAATGAAGTTTATTGCACTTATTGGGGTGACATCAAACCTTCTAGAACGTGAGTGTGGTGCCCTCGTTGATCCCATCGAAATGCTGACTGACATGGCAAAGTTGCGTGGCGGTCAAGACCCTTCCACTAAATGTCGATGTGGAGATTGAGTGCATAGCTGTCCTGTAAATCAAAAGAAAAGCTTTGAATGTAGAATTCTTCGAAAATGTCGAAAGTATGATAAGAACGATGGTGCAATGAATCGTCTGTAGCCTTGAAGACCGTGGTTAAGCATCCTTTCCATGTCAGCATTAACCGTGTGGGCGATCTATCACGAAGAGTCCATCACCTCAACAACAAGCATGCCTTCCGTGAAGTTTGACTGGTTTCATTCATATCAGGAATGATATTGTTGTTCTTCAATCGAGTCTCATTTCATCTGAGTGATATCTTCAGAGTGTCCCCTCACAACAGCTCTATAAGCTTGTCGCAAAAGTACGTGATGGCCCTCCTACCATCTTCCAAAGCCTCATCCATAGCAATGAACGGATGCGGCTGCCCCTTCATGATATGCACATCCGTCTTAACGCCCGCATCCTGAAGCTTCTTCCCAATAGCCTCACCCTCACTTCGTAAAACATCAAGCTCACCAACAACCACAACAGCAGGAGGCAACTTGGACCACTCGCCTTCCCACAGAAGCGGGCTTGCCTCGGGGTGCGCCCAAGTTTCCTTGTCGGGGAGGTAATGGTAACGATACCACATCATCTTCTCCGCCGGCAGCGCGGGCGTGAACTCGTTCTCCTTCCACGATGCGTGCTCTGGTTTCGTCGAGTCCACTGTGGCGGTGTTGTCTGCGACGGGCACAGAGAGCAGCTGTGTTGCCACGGTCGGGAAGTCTGGGCGCTTAGTTGCGCGCTGGCAGATGATTGCCGTGAGGTTTGCACCTGCTGATGAGCCTCCGATTGCGATGCGCGAGATGTCAAGGTTGAGCTTCTCGGTGCCATTTGTGGAGATGGCCCAGAGGACCGACTCCCAGCAGTCGTCGACGGCTGCAGGGAAGGGATTCTCTGGCGCGAGTCTGTCAAGGTTAGTATGTCCTCTTGCAACTCGGATTTCAAGCTGCAGTGCCGTCTTGTGCCACGGGACTCTACTTGCCTATAGTCTACGCAGATAACGACGCATTTCGCCCGGTTGCAGAGGTGCGTGGCGATGACATTCTCCGTGTCAATGTTGCCCAAGACCCAACCGCCGCCGTGGAACCAAAAGCATAGTGGCCACCCCTTGGCCGGCCTCTCTCCCAAGGGCGTGAAAGCTCGCAGGAGGATGTCAGGCCCGCGCGTTTCTTTTCTCGGAATGGTGAAATCCTCTGAGCTGGCGACCTCGAGCTTAGGGCCGGCGCCCGGGATCAGAGTGCCGCTTGCACGAGACGCGGAGATGGGCTGGTGGTGAACAACTTGCTTATCGAAGACAAACTTGTTGTAAAAGTCCTTGTACTCGGGGTTGATGCGGTCGACGACCGAGGGATGCAGGGGGTAGGGTGGCTCGGGCATGATGGCGATGTTTTCGCAAAGGGTGATGATAGTTGGTCAACGGGTTGTCGGAGACACGCGGATTGCTGTGATGCTTCACTTCTTAGCTGTGCGAAAGCAGATGGCTCAAGCTCTCGGCAACATGCCGTCTTTAGCCGGCAAACTCCTCCGAGCTCCGGTCACCGGCCGGACGCCCTGCTCAGCCAACGTTGCCTGTGCCACCCCGCCCGAGGGTCCGTCGCTGGATGATCAGTCTGTCATCAACGGCAAGATTATGCTGGCAGCTTTATCGGTGAGTGGAGCAGTCGGGAAGCTTAACTTCTGGCCCGACGTTGCTCTCAGGGGTCAATTTGCGTCATGCTACCCCTCCGAACCCCGCAGGGATCAGAGCATTTGACAACAATTGACAAAGATGAACCTGTTAGCGCATGGGAATAGGCTAGAAAGCGAGTTCGAGCAGACGAATGGTTTGAATATGCTTAAGGCTCATCTCCAAATCAGGCCATTTGGACGACTGGAGCGCCTATTGGGGTTCAGGAATAAGATGTAGACCCTGAGCTCTAGCGCTTGCTCTTAACCAGAGCAAGCTCACCATGTCAGCACTCGTTGGTACACCGAAAAGAAGCTTAAGTGAGCTTACGTTCGAAATGGTATCGCGTTGTCCGTGTATGGTCAGGATGACAGTGCACAGTTCCGGACTGGAAGGAAGTCGTCCAGCTTGCCGAGTTCTAGTCCATGTTCAATCAGCTGGCCACGACACGTCCCAAGAGACAAGCAATTTTTCATCCAGCTTATCATCTTGATTCAATAAGGTGCCTCGTGTATAGCTGACAGATGTCGGCTATTAAAGACGGAGCAAAGACAAACATAGCAGGCATGCTAGCCCAGAGAGATACCGCTGTTAGGTAGCAGGTGTTCATGGGCACTTCTTGCACTGGCGGACAGGCACTTTGGCGAGATCAACGGCGAGGAAGGCGGTCATGTTTAACAAATTCTTTTCAATCGCACCAAGAAAAGTATGCTGCAATGGTCACAGGCTCCTCGATCTGTTCGCGTGATTGAGCGATTCTACTCCCACTTGGGTCTAGAGCGCCACCGGGAACAATGATCGTGGTCGTGAGTCTCATCACGACGACTGGCTTGTTGCAATAACGGTCGTGTCGCGGCGTTGCGGTGTTCATTGAATCGAAAGTCTAGGTCTAACATAGAGTTATCCTGAGCAACTTGAAAGCCGATAGATAGGTCACAGGAATCCGATGATCAAGGGTCCACCAGGCATTGATAGCTGCTACTTGTGCCAGTATACAGTCATGAAAACTTGACATTAACCAGAGTGTAGACCCTTCGCAGCTCTGAGTCTCGCAATATCAAGTATTCGTACCGAGCTTTGCCGCTTCTCTAGTCGCCTCATCCAATCGCATACGTGGCAGGGATGGTCGTGTTGTACGAGTCTCGGGTGGGCGCGGAAAACGTCAACGTCATGAACGAGGTACTAGAGGTCGACACACCATTTTCATTGAGAATCTCGAGCTACATCCCCCAAATATCCTACAATATTATCTGGTCGGCTTTCACATCGAGTCGTGGGTCTCTTGGGGTTTCGTCCTTTCCTTAGTCCACATCGACACCAAGCTTCCGCAGGTCGACGACGGCCTCCTCGATCTCGGCCATGAGTTCCTTGTGCGCCTCGGGGACATCGTTGAAGGTCATAACATTGTATCCGAGCTTGGCGAGGAGGTAGGAGCCGAAGGAGATCAGGGCCCAGAAGGGCAGCTGTGTGCACGAAGTACAGGTTAGCAAGGTTGGGTCGGGTCGCAGGGGTTGCTTCGAGATTGTGATCGCGGTTACGTACAACGGGGACAACATCGTTCTGAATCTTGGCGGGGATCGGGATGAGCTGGAGGAAGAGAGCGAGGTAGAGCTACAAAAGAAGATTGACGGTTAGCAGACGCTTCATAGAGAGGTGGGATGGCTCTGGACACAAGGGAGGGAGGGGTCGTACCGAGCTCACGAGGAGCGCAAGAGAGATGGTCTGCTGAGCGCGGGTCATGTTTGCGGATGGTATAGGAAGCCCGATATGATTGATGGTGCGAGATGTGATTTGCAGCTGTTGTCTTTGAGCAGAAGCAATCGTGGCTGAAAGGAGTGACTGGAAAGCTGGCGAAGAGATGACGATCCTCGTGCCCTTGGAAGCACTGACAAGTGGAAAAGGAGTCGCGAAGCTGTCCTGAAATCTTGGTGGAGCTCTGAATGACTAAGCGCAGCTGGGGCCCTGTCACCCTGTGGCAGTACGTATCCCTGCATTAGCGCACTTTACGCGAATGGCCTACCCGCGACGGTGGCAGGCGCGACCTCTTCGGATCCTTCCCTTCACTCATTGCTGAGCGTTCCATGAAAATGACAACTCCCGTGAATGATGAATGCCTCTCACATGATCTTATGGAATATATTTGAGAAAGATTACACTTTATCAAAGTAAGTCTCTAGCAAGAGTCTTTCCGGGACACGTCAAGAAACCTAGCCCACTCAAGTCTGAGCACCCATGTGAACGAGGGTACCGATCACGGAAACAGGTCTTACCATGAGGCTTTCCCATGATTCAGGCCCCGAACATAGCCTACTGAAAACAAACTTCGATTCCTGTCAAGTCAGCTCATTCGTTTCGAGTAAAGTAGTTCAGTCGTGATACTTCGAACAAAATGTGCTTCGTAAGACTCAAACTGAGGTAAACTCATATTTGCCGCGTTGCCATAGGATGACATGCTCAGGAATCGAAGACTCGCACCAATCGCATCACAGGCCACCTGCTGGATCAGCGTCGGGACGGGCTTGTTATGAGACTTGGGTACGACGATGATGAGGGGAATTGGCCAGTGCAGGAACACGCAACCTCCGTAACTCTATTACACGCTTCTATGGAACAAACTTTTGGGGTCCAATCTACAATGAACTGGAAGAAGACTCGCTGACATGTTCACCCGGTCGCCCGAAGATGGCGGGGATGAAGTGTGTGGCAGACCGCTTGATCATTACGACTGAGGGGTTCTTGAGGTCAAAAGCTTTATAGGCAATATTGCCGCGCTCGGGGAGTATGGTCGTGTCCTTCACGTCATTTTCTGTCAGCACCTATATGCAGTTGACTTCAGGATGTATACCCTAGGCTTTCTTAGCCGCGTATCTGCGCTCTTGGGGACGGCATGTGGCGACTTTGACCTCACGACATCAGACAGTACTTACACGATCGACAACAACGGTGGACTAGTATTCGAGGTTAACCGGTATAGGAGATGAGAAATCAGCCACCCTTCGCTTGGAAGATTTCAGGGAAGCTGACGGGAATTCTAAGCACAAATGGCGACATTACCAGTCTGCTCTACGACGGTGTTCAGTTCAAGGCACAAGCAAGATGTCACAGATCAACTCCGGTCTAGGAACCTCAACGGTCACAGCCGACACGTTGAACGGTCACGTCAAGATCACCGTCAAAGCCAGCTCACAACCCTTGACACATTATTATGTAGCAAAGCCAGGCGACCCAACCATCTAAATGGCGACTCAGATCACGGGTGAGATCGCTTCTGATTAGTTGCGATGGCTTGCCCGGCTCAAGCGCAAACAGGTACCGACCGGAGTGCATGGCGACGTTGCCGATCTCGATGGATGCGTAGAATTTGAAGGCAAGGATACGTTCAATTGTCTAGATGACACCACAAGATGCAAGATGTACACATCTGACCGTTTCATTGACGACCAGGTTCACGGCATGAAAGGCGATGTAAGCCATAAGAGAACAGTCACCGGCTAACTGAAGCTAACGATTGTAGAACGTCGGGGTGTGGATGATCATGCCTGGCAATGCCTACAAGCACTCTGCTGGCGGCCCTTTAATGAAAGACATCAATTCGCAAAGCACCGGCGATCAAGAGCTCTACTGGTATATGAACAGCGGCCATGTGAGGACCGAGCCTTGGCGATTCGGGCTTCTTTGGCCTCACGCGTCTCACGCAATGCGCTTTACGTAAGTATTCTCCGCCTCCTCAACCTGTCCTAGGATCATATTGACAAGTCACGCAGAAGCAGCACTCGGCCGCCGTCAGCGGACGTTGACATGAGCTTCTTCGACTCGTTGAACATAGATGGCTACGTCCCTGATAGTGGGCGTGGAAGTGTCTCAGGCACGGCAACAGGAATGAAAGGCAGTGCCGAAGCTGTGGTACACTGGTTCAACCAGGACGCGCAGTACTGGACAAAGGCCTCCAGGGGAAAGTTTACCTCTCCACTGATGAAGCCCGGGACATATATGACGAGGCTATACCGGAACAAGTTTCCTGTCGCCAATACCAGTGTGACGATCACGGCGGGCGGAAAAGCCACACAGGATATCGTGGCAACCGATTCCGAGCCGTCAGTCATTTGGCGTATCGGCGAGTTTGATGGGCAACCCTCTGAGTTGAAGAATGGCGACAAAATTCAAAGGCTGCACCCCTCGGATTCTCGCATGGCAAGTCGGGGAGGCGAGTTCACTGTCGGCTCATCCCAAACCAAAGACTTCCCCATGGCCTTGTTCTCCAAGATCGGAGGTAATGCCACCGTCAACTTCGACCTGGCCCCCGACCAACTGGGTGGGGTCGTTCTGCGCATCGGAACGACGCTTTCGTTGAAAGGTGGCAGGCCTAGTGTCAAGATTAACGAGTGGGAAGAAGCGGATCCAGGGGCCCCGATAAGTTATCATCATCAAGGCAATCCCGTACGGATGCCATTTGGGCATGCTCATATTCTAACACAACTCTTAGACACTCATCGACTCTCGCGGCGTAACCCGTGGTGCCTATCGCGGGTTCGGCGACGTGTATAGTTGGGAAGTACCTGCGAGTGAGCTCAAGACGGGACAGAACACACTTGTGATTGGGGTGATTGGGAAAGGAGATGCTGATTTTCTGAGCGCCAACTACATCATCGATGCTGTTGAGTTGCAGGGTAAAGGAGGGCCCAAGAACGACACCTCGTCATATACTTCTAGATACCAGCGGCGTTTCCAATAATACAAATGAAAATGAGTGGCTACATCTTGTCAATCGGCTTTATACTTCTCACTTCCAGAGCGTTCATCTAATAAAGCATGCTTTCCGTCAAAGCGGTCGCTCACAGCTCCCATTATCTGTAGTTAGAGCAAGTTCAGAGCCACATCTTCCCTATTCTCAGACTGCTCCGGCCTGATCAGATCTGAAGTGGATGCAAGAGAAAAGGAAGGGAAGAATCGAGATCGCTAAAGACATCAGCAAAAACAAACATCGCTCGACTCCAACCTTAAAGTGAAGACTACTTAGTCCTAATTACAAGCACCATGCGTCAAAAAAACTTACCGAGCTCTTAGAAGCTTCCATGCAATCATAAACAGCAAAATAACAAATCTACAATTTCCGAAACCGAGAATCGAACTCGGGGCTATGCCTAACCTCTCAAAGAGATGAGAGGGCATCATGTTGGCCACTACACCATATCGGATATGATGATGGAGTCGTGGTCCACCAGTAGCCATCATAAACTCCACACTTTGCACGGAGATATTCCCACAATTTCATCTTCGTAACTTGGCCGGCGTCCCATACTCAAAGAGGGGCTAACCTGTACTACATTTTACTGTTCTCTGCGGTTGACTTGGGTCTATGATGGTCAACAAGTTGTTATGTCTCCTCGTCTTGGCACAACATTAGCTACAAGGTATTTTGCTTACTTGATGTACGGAAAGTCCAAGACTCAAAACTTGCATCTCAATATCCACGAAAGATCATGAGTCAGCTGCCAATGTCGAACTGCCAATGGACCTTGTTGTCGTATTCTTTTGTTCTGATGGTTGTTCAAGGGAAGCCTCGTCGAGTTCCCATTCCCACACCTCTACACCTCCCCCAGGGGCCCTGACGGCAATTCTGTACTTTCCTTCGAACTGACTGACGGTGGCTTGCCGTCCCAAATTGGTAGGAACCTTGAGGTACTTGCGGCCGAATAAACCATACCACACTTCCTTCGCTACCTCCAGTTCTTTCTTGTGTGGGAATGGATTATGATATCTCCGTCTGCTTCCCGTGACGAAGTTGAAAAAGTCAATGCCTTCTCCATGTGTCATCAACGCACCACGATCAAAAAACGCCGTGGGCCAGAAGCCTTTTGGTTTTCCTTGCTCATGTTCTTGCTTCACGTAACCTCCATATTGAGAGTGAGTGACCCTGTCTTTCTCGATGTCCCAAGCAATGACCATGACAGACCCATTGGGCACATCTGGGATCCAGAATAAGACACGATGTCCGTCGTCCGGTTGCCGAATAAGGATGAGGCCGATCGCCAAGTTGTTGCACTTGTCTTCTTGTCCAAGTCGAAGGATCGAGTTCTTGGCCTTGACTGAGCCCGTCAATGTCTCCAAGCAGATTGCGTTACCATCTTTCAGCAGCGCGACGGCGACGTTACCCCATATTCCAATCCGGCTAATTTCTGCTGGCCCAGGAATCTCGGCCAGCTTTTCGTGCTTCCATCTCGGCTTTTCTGACTTCCATATAGAGTGTTTGTCATGCCAGAACACGACAAGTCTTTTCCCGTCAAGATGTACTGGGTGGAGTGTGATAAAGTCCTGGTAAGTCTGGTATACGTCAAGAACTCGCTTGCCCTTTTTCCAATCCCAAAGAGAGGCGCCTATTTTATACTGATGCAGTATGATGTATTCTGAATCGTGACCACAGATGGATGCTGTTTTGATTTTGTAAATATCCCATGAATGGGACTTTTTGGTGTCCAGAGTGCCCAACTGCTTTCCGGTCTGTATATCCCATATGACTACGTTGGAAACTCCATCTACACCGATGAGATGACTCCCCTTCGATCTGATGTAGTGTATGCCGTTGTTGTACGTGAGTTGGTGTACCTTGGTAACCTTCATCGGCCCGATGTCTCCGATGGTATCGTTGCTGATGACGATTCCACTGCCTGCTAATTCAGTCTCCGGAAGCAGCATTCGGTCATGAGCGTTTGGCGGCAAATCCTGTAGCAAATCGCCACAAACGCTTTCAGCGTAGGATGTGAGGGATTCCAGCCAGAGGTCAATGGTATCGCTGTTGGCGACTTTGATCTGTCGATTGGCGCCCACAGCTTTGCGAATCCTTGCTATTTGTAGAGTGACATCGGAGACTTGTCGCAAGAGGTTCGTTGTGTCTTCCTTGATCAGACCTGCATCGTTGCGAATGACGACGGTATCATCCTTGATCGCTTTGGAAGATACACTGCGAATGATTAACACCAACCTCGATAACAACATGAAAGCTGCGGTAATACTGCTTACAGGTTCGCTAACTCGAGAGCCAAGTTCAACGAGCCTTTGTGCGTCTCGAGCATCGTTTTCAGCTGATTGACAGTCTCCTTGCCTCCCATCGCCCACCGCGCTGGCCCAGTTCGGCCACCGTGATTCTCGAGCTCCCCCGCGATCTCCGTTGTCACACCCAAACAGTTCCCGACAAGGGCCAATACGTGTTTTTCGAAGGCAGCGGGCAAGGAGGCCTTGGTGGCGGTATCGTCGATGAGAAGCTCGAGCACGATGCGCAGATCGGACAGTTCTCTGCTGACAGCGGCGAGATCTTCGCGCGCATCGCGACACGTTCGAACAAAATTCGTCACAGCCTGTGTCGTCTTCCCAATTGCGCCAATCAATGTGATACAAGCAGTTGTGATTGAAAGTGGATCGGCCATTGCTCCTGAATCTGAGGATGAGAAGACAGAGAGTGCTCGCGAAACATCTTGTAAGGAGAAGGACTGACAGCGTCTCCATAACATATCACGTAGGTGTGCCTCACGCTGCGCCTCGCCAGTTCTATTTGCTCAGCCACAATTCCTGGCATACATCTGTAGACGAACGATAACGTGTCAAACTGTAGAAACTCGTGCTGACATGCAGGTTGAGACAGCACTAAGACGGGTGATAGGCGGCCTCTGTCTGCAGGCAACAACTAGCTAGACCCCAAACAGTCCAAAACCATGTCCAATGAATGCACACCTAAACAGCGATGCGAGTCTCAACGTCAGATGTCGTCATTAGACAGCCTGGATAATAGCAGGCAACGTTGTTCCCCAAGCAGAGGACTTCAGTGTTACAGCATAGCAGGTGAGTTATATCGGTGCGGATTCTCTTTGATAGATTCCACTCAGTCTCAATAAAATGGACTGTAAAACACGACTTCGTTTGTGGCCGACAAAAGGATGAGCAGCAAGCGAACGAGTATTGCCAAACCATTACAACTCCGAAGACTCACTAAACACAGATTATTAGTTTGTAACGACTTGTCAAAGTTAAGAATAACTCTGAGACAAAAGCAATCCGACTGCGCCATCTCGGAATCAGACATGTCAAGCAAGGCCATATCATGTCTCACGGTGAGGGAGCACTTGTTTTTTCCCTCCATAGGTCAAGAACAAAAGTAACTGCCGTCAACAGTCTGAGATCAGCAAAAGTTTTGGACACTGTGGGAATTGAACCCACGACCTTTCACAAGCAAGCGCAATTATTCACATCCTCAGGAGGAGAGAAATGAGATGCGAAGCGAAAATCATACCCCTAGACCAAGCGCCCTATGACTGGTGACTGGGGAGCCTGCAGCATCCACTAAGATCCGCAAACAGATCTGACTGGGTCCTCACAGAGTCGCAAAGTCTACCCAGCAAGTTAAGTACTCATGGAATCCACGGTCAGCTCTCAGGGCTACTAGCGAGCCACAAAGCACATGGACATGTTGCAATTCCTCGAAATTGGTGTGATGATTGGGAGCGAAATCATGGAAGGCGACTGGAGGAACATGAGCCTGCGCCCAGTTGGGTTGGGGAGTGGATCTTAATTCAGATGGGACTCGTGCATATTACCGGAGACAACGATTGCGGCATATTCACTCGTATTATTCCCGGGAGATGAGAAGATCTTCGGCCAAATCTGGAAAGTGCCAATGTCAAATTGCGATCAAGTGATCGGCATTCCAGAGCACGGAAACTGAGACATACTCATCTAGGTAGCCCGAAAGGCCGCCGAGGGTTTCCAGCCGGCCTGAGCCTGAAGCTTCCGGTTGCCTGTATCTGACTAATTTCGCGGTATAAGAACTGTGGAACAAGACCCGTAGCAGTGAGTAAAGGGCTGTCAGATCTTCTCAATTGCTGTTCGTAGAAATTAGCGGTTTTGCGATTTGACGCGGGCTATGTTGCGCAAGACCTTGAGACTGGGTGGTCGAGGGTTTAAACCTTGTTTCTTGTTTGATTGTAACCTTTGGTAACAGTATGGGTTGTCAATGTAGCTACTGGGCAGTCGTAAAGACGAAATTTACACCTCAATCAAATTCGTCACTAGCATATGCATGTAGGACTGACAAAAGCCATGTGTTCTTATTGATGCCTTCGCCCAATATTTTGATCCAGGTCGCCACGTGGTGGTCTAAAGAGGTTTGGGGGCCATTCAAGTTTCCATCATGGAATGCAAAACACCACCAATCCAACTGTTATGATATTGCCTGAGGTCCAAATAACAGCACGCATTCCACAACCTCCGCCTCGAGGTCGCATGCAACAAAAGCAGCTGATTCCTGACTTTTCGTTAGTTTGCCAATCTTTGACAGTCTGCATTCACACACACAAATACTTTATTTAGCACAGCTTCCTTCGACAATAATTATCGAGCTATCGCTAAACCACAGCATCATGTCATACCGAGGCCCGGCGAAGAATCCGCTGATAGTGTTATCAGACGGAGTATGGACTGGTCGAGAAGCCAACTCAGAGTCCAACGTACAACGGCTGGCAAATTTGGTGTGGGGAGAATCTGGGCTGCCTACAGACGATGACTTCGCACACCTCCACCCTACAGGAAAGGCCCATTATGTCAACAGCGTGCCCGTAGGTAGCACGTTCATGGAGTAGAAGACCCTTTCTTGACGATCCTCTTGAAGAGAATATGGCTAACCGAGGCCTTCAAGCCATGTAATTCACGGTCTCAACGTCCAAGACATCGAGCAGCAATGCATAGATACCTACGAGTACCTAGTTCACGGCTACACCCCACAAGAAACCGAAATATGGATGTTTGGTGTTTCGAAAGGAGCCTTTATCGTCCGCTCCGTTGCGGGCATGATCAATAATTGCGGGATAGTGAAGCCAGTATACGGTCTGAACGGAGATGTTGATGTTGACAAGACACACCAACTCTGCCAGGAGGTCTATCGCATCTACCGATGTTCGTCAGAAGCCAACACGCCAAAGTCAGAACAATCGCGGATCTTTAGAAGGAAGCACAGCTGGGCGTTGATCGGAGATGGAGACGTCGTCGAATCGCCGATTCGATTCATGGGGCTTTTCGACTCAGTCGGGGAACGCGGCATCCCAGGGTTCGCGGGCGCAGTCGGCGTTGACTGGCCCAAGTTGCATGATCACCATGTATCAAGCGTCGTCTCCGAAGTCTACCACGCCGTCTCGCTACACGACCGCCTGTACGCTTACCAGCCGTGTCTGACTTCCCGCGACACAGAGTATGGACCGTCGTACGGCATTACGGAGCGTTGGTTCCCAGGCACGCACTACGATATCTGTCGACAAAGTTTCAAGATTGTGAGGGGCGTGCTGCCGCAGCGACTCGAGAGTCTTCTGCCGGCGTGGGCTTGGTCTAGCAAGGCGATCAAACCGAACGAGGTCTTGAGCGATCTTGTCTTCAAGTGGATGCTGGAGTGCATCGACGCACATGACCCCTCGGGACTTGTGATACCGAAGAACACGCTCTACCATGAGCTAGATGGGCTTAAACACAGTATTTTGGAAGGGGAAAATACTGGCGATGGCGATGTCTACAACCACATCCTTCAATTTGCCCCGTTCGGACGGTACTTTGACCTGGTGTTGTCCACGGCCTTCGGAAAGTGGCAAGATAACCAGCTTTATAAGATGCTCTTCGCCTGCAGGCCTCGTCTAGTTCCCGAGTTCAACGCGTCAGTGTACAATTACAGAGGTCCCGACCCTAACTTGGATGGGAGAATCATACAGAAGCTGGCCAACCTCCCATCAAGTTCAACGGCACCCGAGAAGCAACCTGAAACGCGATACCCATCGACATCATACGATGGATGGCTCTTGAGGCGATAGACCTGATCGAAACTTGGTGCATTGTGTATATTGCTGGAACTCAGGCACAATCTGTAGAGGTTTAGCTCATGGAGATAAGTGCACTACGGGTGTAATGTGGATCCCATGCTTCCATGGGCTGACAAACAACTTTGCACATATTCTCTGTGATTGTGTACTAATACCTAATTACGACTATGAGTTATCTCGTCTGAAATGAAAATCTTTCTTGTCGCTGGTCTTATGAAGTAGAAAATCTAAACTTTAAGGAAAATGGTCGTTAAATCGTTATTAAGACTCGAGGAGGCGTATTTGACCCCCCTTCCGCGTCCATGGGTGGAACAAGCTCTTGGTCCACTCCCACGTATGGATGGCCATGCTCATCGAGCCGAACAAGAAAAAGGGTATCAAGGTGTTGGCGATCATGTATAGCATACCGCCAGACCGCTTGACGATGTCGTAAAGCTCGCCACGAATGATGCGCAGCGACTCCTCCTCGTTCTTCCAGGGTCCCACAAGGCGGAACTTTGCATTGAAGTTGCTACCCATTGCCCAAGTGTACAAGGCCTTGAAACCCTTGGAGTAGACATAGCTGAACCGTGGTGCTGAGCCCATGTCGAGGGCTAGCTGGTATACGTAGCTCTCGTGGTCGACACCGCGCTTTTCGGCCCACGGGTCTCTGCCACATCGAGGGTGGAGCTTCCAGTCGATGTCGTAGCCGGGTAGGGCGTTCGGATCCAAAGTGAGTCCTTTCGACGGTGTTGTTAGGCCAGGGACGTTAGGGTACTTGGATCTGAGTAGTTGAAGGATCCAGTATTGGGTCTGCATCTCGGCGAGGGTGGGAATTGCACCTGGGAAGCTATGTTAGAAGCAACATTCGTAGGGAACATCTGTGGTTGAAGACCTTACCCAAGTTCGGCCGCACGAAGCCAATAAACCCTACTGATACATCGCTGCTGTGGTAGATGGCTCGTACATCGGCTGTGTCGGGTGTGCCATAGCTCTTATCGAGGAAAGGGAAGCGGCGGGTGTAGCCAGTTGCAAATAGAATAACATCAGGCTTCACCACCATCTGCTTTATCTTCTCCGACTCTGGTCTACCGGTATCGCGGAAGTGCAACACACCATCGTCGTCAACATACTCGGGCCAAGGCGCAACGTCAATGTATCGACCCTTGGTGTCGACGTCAAGCTCTTTGATATAGAAGAAGAATCGGCGTATCCGCTCCATGGCCGAAAGAGGCGGCCGCCAAGGCGCTGAGAGGTATGGCACAGCACGGGTGGATTTGGCCGGGAAGACTGCGATCTTTGGTTAGCCGGTTCCTGGATATGTTGGTGCGGATGACTGCATACAGTGATCGATGTGCATCCTCTCCCGACGCATGCCGCCGACATGTTGGTCCCAGCCCTCAAGCGTCCCACCAATTAGCGAGAATGTAACGTCGATCTGTTGGTTGTAAAAATCCCAAAGCAGTTGGCTCGACTGCAGTTTCTGGGGAACATATGCAGTGTCGAAGAGACTAGCGATGGAACAGTCAACGGGTTTATCGTTTACTTTGCTATTCCTGCCCCAGAACCCGAACATGATTGGTGTCGGTGCAGTCTACGACAAGTCAATATCAACCTACACAATATATCTTCAAAACATCGAGGCTTACCTTGGGCGCAACGACGAATCCATCTCGGTGGCACATCACGACATGTTGAACGGTTTCTGTCGTCGCCGCGAGTTGACCGAGGTCTTGACCAGTCTCTCCCGTGCCGACGATGACGACGGTGGGTTTATCGCTCTTGACATCTCGTAGTTGATCTCGGCTCTTGAATTGCGATGAGTGGAGGACCTTGGGGACCTTCTCCAGCCCCGGAATGTCAGGAATACGGGGTTCGAGGTTGAGTCCGGAGCAGACGGCAACGGCATCACAGTCGTAGTCGAAGGTTGTGCCATCATTGCGGGCGACGGTGACGATATGCCCTCCGCCATCTACTCTTTCAGTGCGAGTGACCTTAGACGAGCATTCGATGTGAGGTCGAAGCTCGAACCGATCACAGTATTCGTTTAGGTACTGTACATAAACAGCCGGGGTGACATAATCAGCGGCATCTCGGGGCAGGCGGTGATCGGAGAAGGCGGTCAGGTATTTAGACGAGACGAGCTATGGCCATGCTGTCAGCCTCAATAAACCTTTCTCTCTGTCCGATGGGAATGCATGGTTTGAGGAATAGACAGTGGGTTGAGTTCAGTAGTGGCAAACTTACTTCAGCGTCCTCGTACACTCGATACTTGAACGTGCCTCCGATATCATCCTCGGCCTCAAAGACCCGGATCTGGATAGGTTCAATCGCGAAGAACAAGTGTGCCCATTTCAGATATCTCGCGGTCGCCAGACCCGCGGGTCCGGCACCGATGACAGCGACTTTGAGAGGCATATTCGGTTAGCGTGCGTGGCCGTGAACTTTCGACGTGCCCTATATGCAGGGTCCTCCGATGTCGTGAAACATGAAGGGACGTCTTTCAAGAAGGGGGCACCACCCTCCACCGCCACGAGAGAATAGCAGAAAGCGAGAAGGTAAGGGCACGAGGGATAGCGGGAAATTTGGTGAGGGAGTGGGAGAAAAGTCCGCTCATGAGACGATGTGGGAAAACGGTCGGGTCTTATGGCTTACCTCACACCTTGGACTAGCATCGTCCGCACAGACAACGCGGTACACCTTAGTCTAGGGACGACGGCGAATCTCGGTGGGTGGAAGGGGAACCGAAGGGGAGGGAGGTGTGGTAGCGAAGATGGAACGGTCAAATTCTGGTTTGGGTCGGCCCAGTCCAGTCTCGTCTGGTCTGGTCTTACTTTGCCTTCCCGAGTCTCTCGTTTTCCCGACAGCCCGTCAGGAGTACCGGTAATAGAGAGAGAGAACCCCTACTCCAAGGCCAGGAATAGGAAGAGGAAAAGGACCGGACCTAACACCGAGCTAATGGTTCGGGGCCCATACGTGCGTATGGGCGAACCAGTCCGTCGGAGGGATCCTCTCGACCCTCCCATGCTAGTGAACCCAATTGTGAGGTTCGGTCGTGGTGGATAGACCTTGCCAAGGGTGCAGTAGCGCCACTTAGTCCCATGCGACAACGAGGTCTTTCCTTGTTCTCGTCATCAGACCCTCGAGACCTAAGCGGGGTAGGCAATATCTCCAGCGGGGCGGTCCCCGCGAGAGGGATCGGCTCTTGAGTGGTGTGTGGTTTTTGGATTCCATTGTCTTAGATTGGCCGAGGATGTCGTCTTTCCTCTCTTCGGGAATGTGATATGTGGGAACTTCTCATATCATTTTGGAGCCCCTCGACCCTCTGGGTCCGGTACTTGAGAATTGGGACGTGTGGAGTTACCAGTGTTTATGGAAACTCACTAGGATTCGCGTCAAGGTATCTTCTGCTAAGACTCGCAATCGACAAGATGACTTGTCCCATCCGGCCAACTTTGCGAATCAGTGACCACTCGGTCTGGGCCCGGCGTTCATTTTGGCTCAAGTCTCAGGGGCACAAAGACAGCCGCCATGCAGCGCCGCGGCGTAGCCCCAAATGCTGCAAGACAAAGCGTAACGGCGCCCCCGGTGGTTCCGGCGATTTCGTCCGGGCTAGTCTCGCGTGAGTCTGGCGCCTGTCTGGGTGCGCCTGGCATCCTCTGGCCCAAGCTGCGTTGCCACACCCGCGTCGCCGACTCGAAACTCAATCTGCTGTCATGTCTGTCATTTTGGATTACGGTGTGTGATGAGTGAGCCGTTTTACGTGCGTACTTTTGTTTGTGATGATAACTGGCTCGTCGGCTAATGTCTGTCACATTTCTGCAAACATATCAACTTCCATGACGGCGTCACATCGCCAACTCTCCACGTCGAAAAGTCAAACCGTTCTGACCGCCACTTCGATTCCGAAACTTGATCCTGTCAATCGGACCCGGACGACTGGGTCATTAAACATCCTCCTCGGTCAGGGAGACCTCCACCTGTCCTCAAACTTCATTGGTCTCGGCGCCGTAGCATGAGTCTCTTCCCGCCCCTTTCGTCACCTTATGGCCGAACCACCATGATGTCCACATGCTGCATTCGTCTGCTGTTGCATAGCCGTTATCCACAGCTTCAAGAAGTTTCGCTGGATTCTCCTCCACCGCTGGTTGAGCGCTCCCCTTTTCGTCGCCAATGATTCTTCTACGATCGCCATGATCCTTGCCTGGGAGCATATGCGGCACATCCGCAATTCCCGTCCTGCTTGCGGATAGTCCCGCGCGTCCCCAAGATGGGGCTGCCAGTTGACTGCACTGCATTTTACTGACGAGTCTTGACCAGTGAGACAGAAGCCAAGATGTTAGGATCCAGTTTGCGGAAGTCGTTTGCCAGGATCCATGGCATGCTTTGGTCTTACACGTATTTGTAGATAGTAGCGAGGCACTAGGCGCCGACATCCACCTACCAGCGACTCGCGTTGATTACGGCACTGGGAAGACAACCCCTGCTGATAACCAAAGATACGACATTCTACGACTCATTGATTGCATAGATCTCAACGGCACGTTGAGCAAAGCGAAGCCGCGTGCTATGCGACAGATTTTCGCAAGAGTTTCCAATCTCCTTGTTGAAGACTAAGCGCAATCTGACAAGTTTGATACCTTCAATGACCAGCGTTGGATTTCTGTTCTCGTCCAGCTCTGGCCTTCACCAACTTGAAGTCGCGAAACTCAACAAACTCTGAATCACCTTGACCCTTGAGCATGTAGGCCTTGAAATGGAGAAATACTATTGTAGCTAGGGTGCAAGCTCGGCAACCGTCGGAACTCCATCGCTTTGCGCGCGCGAAGGCCCCATTGGTCTCATTTGAACCCGGCCGCCCCCCTTTGCCCTCTCACCCACTACTTTTCTCAGGTTGTCCAATGCTAATTCATCTTTCCGTCTCGTCTCCTTCGGGGGTTCTTCCATAACTAGAGGCTCATCACTGCTCGCCGGTATGAAGAACCAAGGACGAGCAACCCAGTTAGGCATCCCGCTCGGTTTCGGTGAATAGTTGACGTAAAACGGCAATGTTAACTCCATGATTCCAACCTCTTTGCGGAACGCGACATCATCGAACTTGGCATGGATATCCGTGTTCATGATGCTGATCTTGCTCCAAGGAGCGACAGCAGCCTCGGTGATTTTATCGACTGTTACATGAGTTGCCAGATTGATTCCGGACCAAGACGCAAGAGAGGCCGTCGTGCCCATCTTGAATCTCTTCAGTGCCGTCATGTTGCTGCTCCAGTGGTCGAGCAGCTCATGCCAGGACAAGCTGGAGTGGTAAAACTCGGTCCAAGTGTCGTCGACAAGATCAATGTCCCACGTGGCTGGCAAGTACCCACGATTCGAGACTTCAACGTCGTTGCCGTCGGCGTCTTGGACAGTAACTATGGTGTAGTTGCGGTCTCGGTCCATATCCCAAATCTCCCATTGAGGGATTGTACAGTATGCTTTCGATACCACCACGCATTCATCGAGGTATAGCTCCTCTATCCCGCCAGCTAAGCTCTGACTTCCGAGAGAAGCAAACCAGTCTAGCTGCCATTCATGACTGAAGCAGTATCTTCCCAGACCTAGGACCTTCAAGTGCGGAAATCCAGAGCCTGGTCCGCTGCCGGGATTGATGAGTCTGAAGTCAAACTTGGGTTGGTAGCCCCAGATATCGTCGTAGTAAAGAGACAAGGTTGTCAGGTTACAGGCGAGCTGTGGTTTGAACCACGATGTGAGTTCGCGAAGATAGAGATCTTGCCACTGGTAATTGTACTCAGTCGGCTCATCCTCCAAGTTGTCCCACAACGAGTTGTCCGGGTCATCGGGTGCTACCATCAACTTTACACTTTTGAGCGTTGAAAGGGCCATGACTTGCTGGAAGATGGGCCAATCCGCGAGGTGCTTCCGATGCAATGGGTCTTCCGTGCCATGATCTTGGCCCTCGTTGATATCCTCAGCTAGATTGAAAATGGCCAATTCCTCTAGCTGGATTTTGGGAAATCCGCCATCAATCAGCCTGTCCTCTACGCTCCAAGACATGTCCGGGGTTTTCAAGTCTCCCATCCAGGCAAAGTCGTCAGACGTCCCCAAGCTCTGCGACAATTGAACCAGATCCTGATCATCTTTACTACCGCCGTGTATGCAGTAAAAGGCAACAAGAATGACAAAGCGCCGAAAGCTGTAGATATCATAGAAACGATAACTCGTGGAGTTATTCGGTTCAGCGTTCTCGTCGCCGTCATCTGCATAGTCGGTAAACTTCAAGTTCAGAACTTTGAGCCCGGAGAAGTATCTGAGGTAGGGTAAAGCCTCAAGGAAGTCCATAGGGAAAGGGCAGTAATCCAGAACCGCGCGAGCATCACATGTGACCTCTCTCACATGTCGCCGAAGGTTTGCATCTTTGGCAATGTGCGTGAACCGGTCGCAGAAGGGTGGCTTGAGTGAGATATGCTGGAATGATCTGGGAGTTGCTGCGGCGGACAGAATCTTGCTCCCCAGCCGAGCGGCGTGAGCCGTCGACTTTGAAGTGTGCGCAAAGATAAGTCCCAGAACCTCTTGGGGTAAATACGATACTCGGGATGGATTCTCGGCCATTCTTTAATGCCACACAGTCGGCGAGAGGAGGCTTCGCGATGAGCAGGCCGCGGTCGCGTCGTAGTCGGGTCCGGATTGAGGGGGAAACTAAAATCCAGATGGCGAGCTAGGTACGGATACTGTAGCCTGCAAACAACTACAGCCCCACATTCTCAGTGCGCGGCAAATGATGTTGAAGCATCGCCTACATACCTTACTCACCTCAGTCGAAACTCTTTCAAACATTGCCTAGACACCTGTAAAACGCCATGTATCTAAGTGTTTCTGCAATATTGACTTATGCAGCATGCGCAGTGTTCTCAATGCCCTAGACTTGACCAGAGGTGGATAGGCGAACTCAGAGATCAGCTCTTCCTACTTCGTACTTTACGTAAGTATCTTAACCCTCGTGTTGAACCGGGCTTACCCACTTGTGGGAGCCTCGCTATCCTCCAGGTAGTTCTGGTTCCTCCTTTGGGGAAACCTTTCGAGCTGAATGAGGTTTGGTTGACTTTCACGGAAAGTTTCGTTGCTTGAACCTTTCTTTCTGTGCCCGTAATAAGGAAAAAAAGTGAAACCAACTTCTGCGCGTTTTCAGAATTGTCGGCTTTGGTCATGTTTGCAGCAACCTTTCCCTCTGCTACTTCACTTCAGTTGCTTAACTACTTGCAGACAACCAACCCAACGAACTCTGATGGTGCTTTTATTCACTGAACAGTTCAAGAGCCTAGGTTGAGTTGATTTTGATTGAGTGTATTACTGATGATATGTGTACATCGCCGACCATTGATGCGATTTTGTCGAACATTGTTGACGCCGGAGAGGCAGCTCTTACCTAGCATCGCCTCCTGTCATTGTACAGTATTCTAATGCTTAAGTCGATCGTGCTACTTTTGACAGGGCCGAGACTACCCACACCAATTAAAACCTCATGTCTTCTGTATTCTCATTACTCTGGCGTGCATCCAATGAAGGATCGAACGCCATCGACGCGTCATGTTAGTTTCCTCGTGAATTCTAACCTGCAGCGTGGCGACTCAAAGTGCGTGGTTTCATGGCAGTTGACTGAAATTTAGAAGCCAGAATATTCAGCGATAGAAGGTCATTTTCGCGGTGATCAAGGATGCATTGTTTCCGATTGAGAATCGTCAAGTCCAGCGGTTAGCTGACAGCCAAGGCCACGAAGTCCCAGAGTGATCTCCGCTTGGTTGGTTTACTCTACACAAAGTCAGGAAATCCACAGGTAGTCTGGTCGGGCCAATTGTGTTAACGCGCTTCATGCAAGTTATGGCTTGGGGTTTGGGTAAGAGCAGACATTGGTCAGGATCCTTGCCATCTTCAAGCCATTAGGAATAAAAAACGGGCCACCTCTGTTGGAACGCGGTCGTTCTTTGTTGGTTCAGACCGTTCCTCCCGTCAATCCCTCAGCTTCATTCTTCCGACTTTCTCGACTTCCCGGATCGAGAGGAGAACGCACCCCATCACCCGTATCACTCACTCGCCTTCTTCTGTATCACTTTTACATGCAATACAAAGATGCCTACCGACCCCAACCAATCAGAGCCTTGCGATGAGCCTGATGGAGACTTGAAGCATGTACCGTTTGGCGACAGCAGTGGCTCGTTCTCCTCCTCATTTTCGTCTGCTGATAAGCTTGATGGAACCGAATCTCTGATTTCCAATCTTCGACTCTTTAGTTTTGAAAATAAACGACGCTATCACAAGTATGAAGAGGGCCGCTACATGTTACCAAACGATGATATTGAACAGGACCGAGAGGATATGAAACACGCCATGATAGTACACGTCTGCAATGGGGCTTTACACAATGCCCCTTTGCGCAACCCACAAAGAGTTCTCGATATAGGAACCGGCACTGGTATTTGGGCCATGGAAAGTGAGTTTTATTTCATGACCGAGTAGGGTTATGCTGCCAGAGACGCTAATAAGGCTGCTCGAAGTGGGTGACGACTACCCAGAGGCCGAGATTATCGGCCTAGATTTAAGTCCCATCCAGCCTGAATATGTACCTCCAAACGTACATTTTACAGTCGATGATGTTGAAGCAGACTGGCTGCATGCACCCAACTCAGTTGACTATGTTCACGTGAGGAACATGGCGCCGGCCCTCAAAGATTGGCCAAGGCTTTTGTCACAAGCGTACAGGTAAGTGCGCATCTATCCTCCTCAACTGCCAGCTAGTGGTGAAACGTTCAGTTGACATTAGATAGGGCTCTCAAACCTGGGGGTTGGTTTGAGATGCAAGATCTAGTTTTCGACTTTCTCTGTGACGATGGTACAGTCACGGAGACATACAAGCCACGAGAGGCAATACGCTACTTGACAGAGGCTTTGGCCACTTTCGACGTGGATGTCAACATCGCCAGAAACTTTGCAGGTTACTTGGAATCAGCAGGCTTTACGAATCAAATCCATGACATGAGAAAGGTACCCGTGGGAACATGGCCGAAAGATCCGGACTTGAGTGCCATTGGAGACTACTGCCGCGCGGTTAACTACGATTCGCTTGGAGCAATCACAAACTTACCTTTCACGAGGGGCTTAGGCTGGTCTAGGCTACGAGTAGAAGTGTTTTTGATTGAAGTGCGCAAAGACTTGCTCAATAACTCATTCCACCCATATCACTACTATCACTCTTACTCTGGTCAAAAGCCTCTGCAGCAAAAGGAATGACGGCATGAGCGAAGAC